ATCCCATCTGTAGAGTTGCGTGTGAAAATTAAGAAAGGGAAATTAAGTCGGACTAGAAGTCTGATCACCGAAGAATTGATGCTTTTGAATTATAGTGCTGGAGGAGACTCTTGAGAGTCCCATGGACTGCAAGAAGATCCAACCTATCCATTCTGAAGGAAATCAGCCCTGAGTGCTCACTGGAAGGACAGATCCTGAAGCTGAGGCTCCAATACTTTGGCCACCTCATGAGAAGAGAAGACTCTCTGGAAAAGACCCTGATGTTGGGAAAGATGGAGGGCACAAGGAGAAGGGGACGACAGAGAACAAGATGGTTGGACAGTGTTCCCGAAGCTACCAGCATGAGTTTGACCAAACTGTGGGAGGCAGAGGAAGACAGGAGTGCCTGGCATGCTCTGGTCCATGGGGTCACAAAGAGTCAGACACAACTAAACAACTAAACAACAACAATAGTGCTGAATACCATCCTGTGCTTGTCTATCACTTGTTTCTAGTGCACATAAACATAAATGCTTCCCCATGGACATTAAGTGCACAAGTTGTTATTTCAGAGTGTGGCGTGGCTTCAAAATAAGCTGATAACACATTACATTAAACACCTCATTGGCTTTTTAAATGGTGAAGAAGGAGTTGTTGTTTTCCAAACCAAGTGGAAACAGGAGACAGGAAGAACCTTCCCCAATGTTTAAAGAAGGGGGACATAGGGAATGAAACTAGGTTTGAGAATAGCGGGTTCTCCAAGAGGCTTCTTGTTCTCCCATCTGTGAAATGTTGAAGGCTATGCTTATATATTTACAAAATCTAATTTATCAGCTGTCCACTTGCTGGAGTCCTCTGAGTGACATGTGAAGTAAAAACAAATTAAGAATCACCATTGCAATACAGCAAATTGAGACACAACAAAGGAGACATTTATGCAATCAACCCTTTAAAACAGAGACTAAGAGATTAAAACATTGCAGCAATGAACAACTGAAATAGAGTTTTTAAAAAATAAAAATCAAGAGCTAAATAACATATTGTAACATTTTGTTTGATGGTATGTTGTGCTTTTAGGAGGAGCTTTACCCAGTTTATCATTTTGATTATTTACTAAAAGCATTTATTAAAAGACATCTGAAAATTTAACCTTACCAATTTTTAACAATATAATAAGCCAACTGAAGACAACTGTGTTGGTCACCCAGCACGTTCTTCCGATCGCCAAAGAGGAAGTTAACATTCAATGTGGATCCAGGAAGTAGAGTGTGTTCCCGAAAAGAAAAAAAAATTAGCTGCCTTCTGAACATATTGCTGGAGAAATCAGGAGGTTACTAATTGAGTTCAAACTAAATGAATTTGATTCCTCGTTAGCTGGGCAAATTACACCATCCTGGAATCCAGACCTTATTAGTCACTGAGATGTTTCTTACTTCACTTCATGCTTGGCTTTTACTGTGCCAAGAAGGAAGAAGATAGGAATCCTTATGCCTTTATATGGAATTCCTGTTTGCACCTCAAGTTCTGGAGAAGTTTCTTCCCTGCCAAGGGAGCCATACGGAAGAGCGTGCCATTCAAATGAAAAGCAGGCTTTTGAAAGCAGACCAATCCAAGCAGAGAGTGATACAAGCTCAAAAGCAAACTAAAAGCAGGATAAAACTCTGAAAGAGGAGGCGGGGGATTTTTCAGCCCAAGGGTCACTTGTCCTTATAGATGTCCTCCTGAGGGCCAGGTACTAGTGGTGGGCGTAGCCAGAGGCAGACAGTGGGTGGAGCAACAGATATGGCTCTTGCCTTGGTAGAGAAGGCTACATGCAAGTCATGCGCCCTTTCTAAAGACATGTTTCTCCATCCAGGCTTGCAGGAGGCACGGTCCCAGTTCAAGGACACATTCCAGCGAGGAAAAAAGCACTCAAGGAGGGGGGATGGATGAATTGATTGCTTGATTATTTAATGTCTATACCTCTTAATATATTTAAAATATCTCTAAGCGGTGGACAGAAAACTGAAGCAACGAGAGACAGCAAACAAAATGCCGTACTTTTTCAGGTATAAGACCAGGGTGTTTTTTTACTAAAAAATAATGTTAAAAGGGGGTGTGTAGTCTTATACACATATAGTGCATAGGGGGAGCGTGTGATTGGTTGCTGCCACAAGCCAGAGATTGTCAGCGGCTATTGGGCGTGTTATTGGTTGCTGCATCAAGGTCAGGTGTTGATTGGCTGTCGCTGCGGTAATTTGGTGGGCGATTTGTGGCTTTTGCTAGCAAGGGGACAGAGGATCGGTTGCGTTCGCAGGTGAGCAATTTTTGGCAATTCCCCCTTAAAAAAAGCTCAGCAAAAGTCCCCAAAGATAGGGAGCGTCTTATACATGGGGGCATCTTATACACAGAAAAATACAGTATGCATAGTTACTGATACAGTCGTACCTTGGTTTTCAAACAGCCTAGTTCTCATACATTTTGACTCCCGATCAAAACCTAGAAGTGCCTGCTCCGGTTTTCAAACATTTTTTGGGAAGCCAAATGTCCGACAGGACTTCCATGTGAGGAAGTGTCATGTACAGGTACACTGCGCCATAGAGGGACCTCCCCATCCTTCCTTCTGGAGAGAAAGAGAGTACACATAGGGTTGTGCCCTTCTCTTTGAAGGTCTTTAAATAGCATTGCTCCCACATCACAGACCAAACTTTGTTCTCACCATACTGTCCACTGCAAGGAGGGAGTTCCATTAGCTCCCGTTTCCAATGGGAATTGCCATCTCTATTTTTAAGAGCAGATCATTGGAGCGTTAGACGGAAATAGCCCTAAATGGGTTCAGCAAGTTGGAAGTGAAATAAAAACTTCTGTATCATCGCAACCTTAACTCTGTTTCACATCATGTTACAGCCCCTCCTCTGTAAGGTCCTAACCCATTTCCCCAATAACATTGAGAAAAGTTGTATATGTGGCAAGGCGCCATCACTTTCAGGGTTTTTCCGCTCATGAGAGGTGGGCAAATTTGTCAAAATCGGTTGCTCTCAACATCTCATTTCCCCCACAATCTTGAATTCAGCTCACCATGTTTCTGAACTTTTTAAAGCAACAATCCCTCCTGAAGATTCACAAGCATTTTCATAGGATTATAGAATCCTAGAGTTTTGCAGGGTTTTTCGAAAATAAATTTTATTTAAGATTCGACATTAACAATAAATCAGCAGTAACTAATACATCAATTCATTACAGTTGACCATCTTCATAGAGTTTGAAGGGACCCTGAGGAACATCTATTCCAACCCCCTGCAATGCAGGAATATGCAGATGTCCCATCTGGGAATCGAACCTGCAATTTTGTTATTATCAACAGTGCGTACTAACCAACACAGCTAACCACTTAGATTTTGTGCATATTTCTCCTAACACACCCATTTTTGTAGAGAACTTTGCCTAATACACACATTTTTACCAGTTTGTTCCCCTAAGCATTTGTGTGTGTGTGTGTGTGATTTTCACTAACATATGCATTTCTGTGTAACTAAAAAACCCAGCCATCTTTGGAAATCTGCCCTTCTCTGAATTTTCCTATGCAGCTCTCCAGCCAAGCAGTGTGTACAAAATGCATGGAATTGCATAAAAATGCACAAATAAGTGAGAATGATGTGCAAAAATGCTTTATATTAGGGGAAATTGCCTTGCAAAAAAATGTGTGTATTAGGCAAAAATCAGGCAAAAGATGTGTATTTTAGAATAAAAGGTATTAAAATCCTGATGAATTTTCATGAAGACTTCCTTAAAATGATAATAATTGCCAAAGGGCAGGGAAATGTGGAAAACTCAAATTAAGATTGGGGAAAAACAAGGGATGGAAAGAAACCAAAACTGACAGTTTCACCTGGCCCCATCATTGGGCAACTACATATATATCAGCAATCTGACAATGAAGTTATTGGGTGCTATGGGGTATCATTTTGCTCACAAAGCTATTTAACATATATATGCAGCTGTTGGGAACCATCAGTGGATTGGGAGCAGTGTCATCAATTCACTATTGATACCCAGATTTTCTTTCTTTCTTTCTTCCCATCTGAATTGCATGTGACTGTGCAAGTACTGGTTCAGTGCCTGAGTGCAGTGATGGGCTGGATGACCACGAATCAGCTGTGGCCTGAGGCAGGGTCCTGAGCTGGGGAATTCAGCCAACTGGGGAATGGCACTTTCCCTGAAGGTGTCATGGAAATCTATTCAATATTGATCCAGAGCAGAACTCCGATGCACGGTTAGCAGAGTAAAAACTTAAACACGTTGCAGGATTCCCAAAAATAGACCAGAGACAATTGTATTTCATCCAGCAGAGCTTTACTGCTACTGAAGGCAAATGAGCATAATGGTCACAAGAAGAAGAGGAGAAGAGTTTGGATTTGATATCCTGCTTTATCACTACCCTAAGGAGTCTCAAAGCGGCTAACATTCTCCTTTCCCTTCCTCCCCCACAACAAATACTCTGTGAGGTGAGGGAGGCTGAGAGACTTCAGAGAAGTGTGACTAGCCCAAGATCACCCAGCAACTGCATGTGGAGGAGCGGGAAAGCAAACCCAGTTCACCAGGTTACGAGACTACCGCTCTTAACCATTACATCACACTGGCTCTGATACATTCAGGATTGGCACTGTCCATAAGAAATCCAGTTACAGCAGACTTACCTTAAGTCTAAACCTTAACACTATAGCATACTATGTACAGAACACCAGAAGGAAGAAAGATAGAAAGAGAAAGTGTGAAACCCAAGCTCCTTCTTGGCCCTACTTTTATAGTCAGCATGATCTTGACTGAAAGAGATAAGAGAACCAGTTTAAGCCAGCTGTACTCAGCTTCTCGGAAGGAATAACCCAAACATCATGAACCATTTGCTTGTCTCTGTCACACAGAGACACTTCCAGAACCCTCTTGAATTAAATGGAATAGGAAAGATCTCTACACGTCAGAAAAATACTTTCTGCACTAAGAAATGCAAACTGACAGAAGGAACAGGTGCATAGACTGGAGGTGTTCCCTAATCCATCTTTAACATTAGAGGAATGTGGCAGCCAGTGTGTCTGGCTGTTAACCAGAAGGTTGGTGGTTCGAGCCCACCCGGGGACGGTTGTGGGAAGGATTCCAGCATTGCAGGGGGCTGGACTAGATGACCCTTGAGGATCCCTTCCAACCCTACAATTCTTTAATTCGAAGTGGCCACGGTAGCTAGGAGTGCCATTTACAGTGGTACCTCGCAAGACGAATGCCTCGCAAGACGGAAAACTCGCAAGACGAAAGGGTTTTCCGTTTTTGAGTTGCTTCGCAAGACGATTTCCCTATGGGCTTGCTTCGCAAGACGGAAACCTCTTGCAAGTTTGTTTCCTTTTTCTTAAAACCGTTAATACAGTTGCGACTTGACTTCGAGGAGCAACTCATAGCACGCGGTGTGCGTCTCCGTAGGGGCAAGAACGCGTGAAGGCGGGTTCTGAGGGAGAGGGAGCTTTGTTTCGGCGAAAAATAGCAAGGCGCGCACACTTCCCTCCCCACAACTCCCAGTTAGGGAGGCCAGGCTCCGGGGCTCTTTGGACGGGGCTCCTTCCTTCTTCCCCCCCCCCAGCGCCCCGGCGGTGACAAGAGCGCCTGCCCGGGCGCTTTCCAACCCCGCGACGTCTACGGCTGCGGCAAGTTTGCCTCTCAGTGTGTGTGCGCGCGAGTGTGTGTTCTCCTCGCCCCGCTCGAGTTAGTCCCGGCGCAGCGCAGGCAGCAGGTGAGTCGCCCTTTGGCAGCGTGGAAGGCGCCGGGCCAGGCAAGGTCAGCTCGGGAGCCACCGGGGACGCGCCCCCACGCTCCTCTCCAACGGGCTGGATGCACCCCTCTCCGCTCGCGCGCTTCTGGCTGGCTGGCCGGCTGCAGCAGCAACAGGGGCAATAGGCATCCACCGTCGCCGACGGCTCCCTCCCTCCCTCCTGCCCGCGGGCGGGCGGCTGGCTGGCTGGCGCTCTCGCTTTCTTTCGGGCTGCTGCTGCAGAAGGGATTTTGCACCAGACAATTTTTAGGCCAGTAGGAGTTTTGACTACCGCGGCGACAGCAGCAGCAGCAGCAAGACGGCGCCAACTGTAGTGCAAAGGGTCGGAGCAAGGCGAGGCCGGACTGATCCCGGGGGCTCAGGCAGCAACCTCTGCCCTGCCTCCCCCCACGCCCCGCGCCCGCCTCTCCCTCCCTCCCAAGCACCCCCCTTTTTTGAGGTTTTTGAAGACTTTTGAAGCTTTTCCAAAACTTTCCCGACACCGTGCTTTGCAAGACGAAAAAAATCGCAAGACGAAAAAACTCATGGAACGAATTAATTTCGTCTTGCGAGGCACCACTGTACCTCTTTTGGCAAACACATCAACTAGGCTGCTGAGCAGAGCATCCTACATATTATACACACATAACACCTATGTTAAAGGAATTGTAGTGGAATGGAATGGACTCCCCACTGAAACATGGCAAGGCCTTCAGTGCCTGCTGAAAACTCATTTGTTTTCCATGGCCTTTGTTGGCCTTTGATGTCATCTGTGATGCTGGTTTAACAAATGTTCGTCCTGATGGGGACTGTTGAATTTATTGCTTTAATATTTTGGAGGAGGGTTAAGAGAATTTCTTGGGAACCACCTTGGGAAATCTTTCTGCAAGGTGATATAAAATATTTTAAACAAACCCAACTTTTGTTGTAGCATAATAGAAATTGAAGCCACAATCCTAAGCACTTGTTTTTTCCCTGCTCTGGAGGGTATGACTCGAGTTGCAAGAAAGGAGATTCCGGCTGAACATCAGGAAGAACTTTCTGAGAGTGAGAGCTGTTCAGCAGTGGAACAGTCTCCCTCAGGTGGTTGTGGACTCTCCTTCCTTGGAAGTTTTCAAGAAGAGGTCGGATGGCCATCTGTCATGGATGCGTTAGATGAGATTCCTGCATTGCGGGGGGTTGGACTAGAGGACCTTTGGGGTCCCTTCCTGTTGATGGATCTCAACCAAAAATCTCTGCTGCCTGTCTGTGTAGTCCGTGTAGTCCAGGTCAACGACTCAGGAACATAAATTGCTGAACAGTAACTTGATTTGTATTCGCTTTTATTATATACAGAGTATAGCGCAGCTTTGTACAAGTTACTTATATACAGACTCGAATCAAACTCCACACACCAAACTCTCTAAACTCCAGCATCTCTCTGAACTTCAACAGCAGCCCTGCTGTGACATGCTGCTTATAAGGTAAAACTTTTAACCAATCACCGCCTGTTGCTATGCTTCACTGTCTCCAAGCAGACTTTCTCAAGTACCCTTGTTTAACTTGGCTTCTTAAAGGTAAAGGTAAAGGGACCCCTGACCATTAGGTCCAGTCGTGACCGACTCTGGGGTTGCGGCGCTCATCTCGCTTTATTAGCTGAGGGAGCCGGTGTACAGCTTCCAGGTCATGTGGCCAGCATGACTAAGCCACTTCTGGCAAACCAGAGCAGTGCATGGAAATGCCGTTTACCTTCCCACCAGAGTGGTACCTATTTATCTACTTGCACTTTGACATGCTTTCAAACTGCTAGGTTGGCAGGAGCAGGGACTGAGCAACGGGAGGTCACCCCATTGTGGGGATTCAAACCGCCAACCTTCTGATTGGCAAGTCCTAGGCTCTGTGGTTTAACCCACAGCGCCACCCGCGTCCTAATTGTCCAATTCAAAGCTGCAGTGTTATCACAAACCTCAACACTTCCAACTCTAAAATTCTATGATTCTACTAATGTGCAAACCCCGTTGAACATGGCAGGACTAATTTAGAAACATGAGAAACATCCAAGAAGGTCAGCACATTGTGTTGCCAGTGTGGTGTAGTGGTTAAGAGCGGTAGTCTCGTAATCTGGGGAACCGGGTTTGAGTCTCCGCTCCTCCACATGCAGCTGCTGGGTGACCTTGGGCTAGTCACACTTCTCTAAAGTCTCTCAGCCCCACTCACCTCACAGAGTGTTTGTTGTGGGGGAGGAAGGGAAAGGAGAATGTTAGCCGCTTTGAGACTCCTTAAAGGGAGTGAAAGGCGGGATATCAAATCCAAACTCTTCTTCTTCTTCTTCTTCTTCTTCCTTGGCCTCTTCCATTTTACCCGCACAAAAACCTTGTGAGGTAGGCTAGGCTATGAGATTGTGCCTGGCACAGGCTCACACAGTGAGCTTCACAGCCAGGTGGGGATTTGAACTCAGGTCTCCGTCATCTGGCACTCTAGCCATTCCACTGTGCTGTGAAAGGAGGCCGTACGAAAGCCAGGCCAAATTCTGATCTGTAAGCTAGATGATGTGATAAATTCCCCTACAAGTGGATTAAAATGACATGGAGTCGCAAATAGCAGACCTGTTCCTCCTTAAGCATGACTGACGGATCGTTTGCTGGGAAGCTGTTGCGTCTCTGGAGGTTAAAGCTGAAAGCGACTGATAACGTGTAGAAAATACCAAAAACCTTGAAAAAGAGATCCGTTCGCTAGGGCCGTTCGCTAGAGGCGATTTTCAGGAAGTATGGTTTATGTGGAGAGGGCAGGGGGATACTTTCCCCAGCAATAAGAGCCAAACCAACATCCTTTTGATCTTTTATCCTTTTAATTGGAAAAGGCACTAGAATAACTGAAAAGGTGAACTGAATGATGTATTCACAGAGGTGGAAACTACAGACATGGAAAATTGAGATTATACTATGTGTTGTATCCAGTATTCGTCCTAGAGTATACAAAGGGGTTCCCTTCATTTTCCAACTTGAGTTTTATCTTTTAATTGCTGTTTAGTTTTAATGGCATTGTTTTATTGCATGCCTTAATTTTTTACATTTAATGCTTTTAAGACATTGTTTTATTGTGTTTTTGTAATTATATATGTCAATATTTTAACGTGTGTGTAATTGTTTTTTATACTTGTAAACTTAGAAAGTTATACTGACGGTAATAATGATGATAATAATAAGAGCAGACCCACTGAAATTAATGGAAATGATTAACTTAGGTCCATTAATTTCAAAGGGCAATCAGTTAAAAAAAATTGCCTGGAAATTCTCATGACGGTTCTCTGACATGGAACTTGCTTTGTTGTTACCCCAAAGAAAAGAAAATCTTCACTTTAAAAAAAACAACAACTCGCCTTCCCCCACACTCCCTTACCTGGCTGATTGAGAAAGTCTCTGAATAACTCTGTTGTTACAGCAATTATGCCTGTTTGTTTAACAAATATGCCACTTCTCCAAGAGTAAGCAGCCTTGCATTCAGTGGATCTTACTTCTGAGTAGACAGGTTTGGCACAGGAGAGCTGAGATCAATTATGATCAGAGCTATTTTTTCTAGAAAAAGAGGTGCCGGAACTCACCATGAATGCCTCCCTTGTTCTCTTATAATGGCAATGGCGTCCACCTGAGAGGTGCTGGAACTGACTTCCAGCGAGTTCCAGCTGGAAAAAAAGCCCTGGTTATGATATTGTTGCAACCGGGCTGAATCCATACAAATACAGTCGGACTTTGGAAGTCGAACAGAATCTGTTCCAGAAGCCCATTCAACCTCCAAAATGTTTGGAAACCAAAGTGCGGCTTCTGATTGGCTGCAGGAAGCTCCTGCAGCCGATCGGAAGCCATGGAAGCCCAATTGGACTTTCGGCTTCCAAAAAAACGTTCTAAAACTAGAACACTCACTTCCAGGTTTTGATAGTTCAGGAGCCGAAACAGATGAGTACCATGGTGTTCAACAACAAAGGTATGACTGTACTATGAAATGTGAACTGGCATGATCCAAGCTTGAGCTACAAAATCTGCAATTGTTAAACAAACAGGTATTTTGAGGAGTGAGTCCCATGCCTAATTATACCCTGGAATTCAAAGGCTCCGTTTAACTGCCAACAGTGGTTGATAGATTTTCCTCCATTAAGTGATGCTTACTTAAGCCCATCTAAGGTAGTGACCCTCAATGCATCCTGTGGATGTGAAGTCCTTAAGCTGATGAAATATTGTATTTTGGCTATTTCCATGGCTCAGATCGCATGCCATGCACACAGAAAGTCAAATCCCTGGGTGGTGAATCTCCGGGCCTGTGGATGTTGTGGGACTCCAACTCCCATCAGTCACAGCCAGCATGGCCA